GTTAAGATGGGAATAAAGACACAGACCTACTAGAGAATGGACTTGAGGATATGGGGAGGGGTAAGGATAAGTTGTGACAAAGTGAGAGAGTGACATGGACATATATACACTACCAAACATAAAATAGATAGCTAGTGGGAAGCAGCCGCATAGCACAGGGAGATCTGCTCAGTGTTTTGTGACCACCTAGTGGAGTGGGATAGGGAGCGTGGGAGGGAGGGAGACGCAAGAGGGAAGAGGTATGGGAACATATGTATATGTATAACTGATTCACTTTGTTAAAAAGCAGAAACTAACACACCATTGTAAAGCAATTATACTCCAATAAAGATGTAAAAACTAAGAATAATAATTATAAAACTATAGCAATGAAGACAGTACAGTAATATTGCTAGGACAGACAGAGACCAATGGAACTGAATAGAGATTCCATAAAGAGACACACACACATACATGGGTGCTTCATTTTTCACAAGGGTGGCACTGTAGAGTCTTGGACAAAGGACAGTCTTTACAATAAATGGACTGGGTTAACTGATTATCCATGCTGGGAAAAGATGGAATTGGGCCTATACCTTATGCTATACACAAAAATCAATTTTAGGGGACTTGTAAATTTAAATGTGAAAAGTAAAAGAAAAGCTACTAGCAGGTAATATAAGAGAATATCTTCATGAACATCGAGGGCAAAGATGTCTTAACACTAACCATAAAGGGAAGAAAAACATAACTTGGACTAAATTAGGGATCTATACATCAAAAGACATTAGCAACACACATGACAAACACAGCGTTAAGATTCTTAAGTAAATGCCTCTTAAAAATAAATAATAAAAGATAAAAATTTACCACCCCACCCAAAAATGATCAGAAAACAAAGCCAATCTCTATGAGATTATTTATAGTCAATGAACATACTAACATGTGTTCAATCTCACTAGAGAATAAAGATAAAGAGAAATAAGATATTTAACCTAGTAGATTGGCAAAGATGAAAATAAAAAAAAATTAAATTTAGTATTAGCCAAGATTTCAGCGCTTTCATAAACTTATGGTAGGAAATTAAATTGGACAAGTTTTCCAGAGACTATATGGCAATGTATCACAGAATCCCTAAAAAATATATCTATTCTTTGACCAATTATTCCACTTCTAGAAATTCATCCTTAAGACTTTGGGATATGGAAATTTTGCAAAAGTGGATTTTCATCACTGCAATGCTTATATAACAAGAAGTTAGGAAATAAAAGTCTAGCAATAGATGGGTTAAATATGTCATGATAATCCATATAGAAAGAAACTATGTCAAAATTATAAATAATGATTTGGATCAAGGATAAGCACCTAAGATGTCCACAGGGGCAAGATGTAACATAAATGAGTAAAGAGGCTCTTTGGCAAACTGGATAGCACATGCGCCTTTTGAAGAGGGCAACTCAAATCAATTGCCAAGTAAGAAGTGGGGGAGGGTCTAGTGTTGTCAGTATACCTAATATTTTATTTATTTATTTATATATTTTTTGCGGTACGCGGGCCTCTCACTGTTGTGGCCTCTCCCGTTGCGGAGCACAGGCTCCGGACGCGCAGGCTCAGCGGCCATGGCTCACGGGCCCAGCCGCTCTGCGGCATGTGGGGTCTTCCCGGACCGGGGCACAAACCCACATCCCCTGCATCGGCAGGCGGACTCTCAACCACTGTGCCACCAGGGAAGCCCTATACCTAATATTTTAAAAGAAGTAGAAAATTGAAGTTTTTATGTGAAATCTCCTCATGTTTAAAAGTTGTCTATTGTTTACAATTTTTTGAAAAAATCAGTGAACAAATAACATATGTCATTTATGGACTAGATTCAATTCAAAGGCTGAGAGCTCCAGTGTACATATATATATTATTGACATAAAAAGATCTCCACGATGTATTGTTTTTATTGTTGTAAAAAGCCTGTTACAAAGCAGTTTATATAATATGATCTCATTTTTTGTTAAAAATGAAAGCACATTTATATGTATAAAGAAATGCTAAACAGGGTCTAAGAGATATAAATCTAAATGTAATAGCAGGAGATTTTTATTTTTTATATATTTTTCTATTTTCACATTTTTATATTGATCATTAATATTTTATTATAAGAAAATAGGATGAAGTTTTTTTTTTTTTTTTTTTTTTTCCTTGCGTTATGCGGGCCTCTCACTGTTGTGGCCTCTCCCATTTGCGGAGCACAGGCTCCGGACGCGCAGGCTCAGTGGCCATGGCTCACGGGCCCAGCCGCTCCGCGGCATGTGGGATCTTCCCGAAACGGGGCACGAACCCGCGTCTCCTGCACCGGCAGGCGGACTCTCAAGCACTGCGCCACCAGGGAAGCCCTAGGATGAAGTTTTTTTATTTGTGGTTGTAAAGGAAAGAGTTAATAATTTAAAGTTTTGAGAATTAAATTAAAAATCAAAATCATTGAATAAATACTCTTGCACAAAATTTGGACAGACCAGAATTCAAAATCAGTTCTTCCACTTACTATATCAGTGGCCTTTGGCTTTCTCACCTACAAAATATCAGTGATAATACCTACCATCACCGCCTCAAATTCCCTGGGTAATGTAAAAATTAATAAACAAAAATAGAATGAATATCTACCACCCTGCCTTCCTAGCATCACCAAAGCTAAGTGGAGAGAAGGGGGCTTTTTCTACAGAAATTCAAGTTTGGAAAAAAAACCAGACACTTGTAGAATATAATAATGAAAAAAGGTTGTATGTTTGTTTTTGCTATTCCAACAGGAGGTAAGACCTCTTCCCTGACAACTTCTCTACTCTCAGAATCTAAAGCTCCTCTCTGCCCCACACCTCAATCCCTACTTACGAAGGATACCCAGCGCAGTGGAGCAGAGAGTGGCTGACACCAGAAGCAGCATTAGATGAGGTGGAATCATATCGTGTTCTCAAGAATATTTGGGTACTAGAGCCTAAGTGTGCACGGAGCCCCAGGACAAATGGAATAAACTAGAGAAGCCACTCTCAAGGATTGGATTTGACCCTCAAGTAAAGACATGAATGAATATTCTTTGAAAGTTTGCCACCCTTTAGCTTCTCTTCCCACCTCTCTGTAAAGACATGAATTTCTCCACATGGTACTCGGGGAGGTGAAGAGGTCCACAGGTGAAACCAACCAACTGGCTAATGCAAGGAGGGTTTTGTTTCTGTCTATATCACCTCTTTTTCATCGTAAGGGTCTTAGATATCTGCATTCCACTATTCCTTCCACTGTGAAGGGTAAGTATAATGGAGGGTAAAGACATTTTTTCAGGCTATTGTAGTACCACTGGAAACCTACCTTCAAATGAGCTCATGTGTCTTCCCAAGCACCCAGTTTTAAACCTAGGGAGAAATATCATAATATCTGGTCCATGGAAATATCATACCCTGTAAGATATTTTTTATATAGCAACTCATTTTCATTATCATTCCTTTTTCAATTAATTCACAATAAAAGAGAACAATAAAAGTGTTGTTTCATATCTTTACTCTCTCAGTAATGTGCAACATGAACATAATAGTGTTAAGAAGTCAGAAATAACTTAACACAGTTGCTATAGAAGATGTTTATATTTGCAAAATTTCAACAATGATCTTCCCTAGGTTCCCCCAAATTAGCATATTTGTTAACCAAATTAATTAAGAAGCTTTTCAAAATAAAAGCAATGTTTTAAATAGATATATTTTCATAACCATAGAACACTTAGTTCTGTTGGAGGTAACAAACATATTACAATCAAGTACTTTCTGAAGATATTAGGGTAAAAATGATCTGGATGCAATTATAAATGTACCCTAATTAGTCATTTGCTTCTTTTGTGTGTATGTTTTTCTGCATGTGTTAAAATTATATCATAGATACTTTGTAACCGGTTAGTCCTTAAAACATCACAATGTTATCTGACCCACAGAATTTATATCAGCTCAAGGTGATGATATGATATTGTTTGAACAATGTCTTTAAATTTAAATTTAGTGCTCAATTAAATGCAATGAAAGCCAAGACCTCCTAGCTGCCCATGTGTTATAGAAAATGAATGCTAAGATTCCCAGTTAGGAAGAATGAGACCTTCCTATAAATCACAACCTTGAAATTTCATAACTGAATATCGTTGTCACATCAAAATCCTAATTTCAACAGAGTTTTCATGGTGTTTCAGAGTACCACATTAAGTGGGTATAAATTCACTTATGATCAGCTTTTCCACTGAAAAGTAAACAACTACAGAAAACTTTCTAAAAATTGATTTTATTTAATAAATATTTTAAAGAGTTCACTAACTGAAGACTTTGCTGATCTTCCCAGAAATTCTGATCAGTTGTTTATCCTTCATTCACTTTTATTTCTACTGTGATTCTTAGGAATTTTTCTAATCTATATTTAATCTATTAAAACATCTATGCATGATAAATTTGGCTTCCTTCAATTATAAGCTGTGTTACGATCTCCAAATTAAATGATAAAGGTAGAGAAGTAAAATTAAACACAGCAACAGGTTATAGTTAAGTGCTCTTTAGAATTTCAGATTAACAAATTTGTCCCAAAATGATAAAGTAATAACTTACTAAATGAATAATGCAACACAGAATAGATTTTAACAGCATCTCACTCTCTCTCTTCTGTCCCCACCTCTCTCAGTCTTTCTCTTTTGCTCTCTCTCTCCCTCTCTGTCTCTCTCTCTCTCTATCTCTCTCTGTCTCTGTCTCTCGCTCGCTCTCTCACACACACACACACACACATACACACACTTCCGCCCACATCCATACGTGAGTGTGTACACACATCTCAGAATTTTAAAACACTGCTACTAAAGATTTTAACTTAGATAAATTAACTATGTTAAAATACTGACATTGTGAAAATATCTGTTTATGTCCAATACCCCAGAGAGGGCCTCTTTCTGTGAACTTCTAAAAAGCTTAAAGAAAGAAAATCAGAAGGAAAAACCAGAGTCCTTGGCAGGAAGCCTGGGTGAAGGCGTGGCTGCCACTCAGGGTCACAGCTTCCCATTGTCCTCGCTGCTCTCCTTCTCCTCTATGGCCTCCAGGCTGCGCTTGCTCTTGGCCTCGGCACCACTGCTGGGGGCTTTACTAAGGCCACAAGACAAGCACGCCAGCTGGATCTGCTTCATGTTCTCTATAGCTTCATTCTTGGCATTCTTCAACAGATCTCCTTGGCCCTACAAACAGGCAGAAATAGACACCAAAGAAGAATGTTATGGGCCAGGCAGATCCTAAGTGACATCACTCTATATCCTTCATGCTGTTGCTCACTGAGGAAACAGACTCAGACCGGAGAGCCCACTTTTCCAACATCCTTTTCTTGCATTATTGAGGGTCTTTGCTCTTTAAGTCAAGGACCTCAACCTGAGCCTTCCCCATTGTCTCTGTAGTTGCTGGGAGCCTCTGGAGATTTCCTGTAGGAGGGAACACCGTCTGGAGACCCTTATCTGAATGTACCAAGGACAATCAGCCCTTCCATCACCAGGGCTCGAGACTACACACTGCTGTAACTCCCAACCCACCCAGCCCAGCATTCCTAGGTTTGGGAGAAAACAAGGAAAGAAGCTCTTCCTCAAAGAACTGAAAATTAAATCATCTTCTGAGTGTAAAAGAGCTTACAAAGCAAATCTCTGTAAAGTAAATCACACACCCTTATGCTTGGTAAGCTGGTTTGTAGTATATTGGGTCATCGCTGCAGCCTGCCTTTTGATAAGTTCCTATTTACCCATGTTCTTTTCTATTATCCTGAGGACAATGTTCCCATCTGGCTGATGGAGAGAGGCTCCAGAGGCTTAGTGTGTCAATCAAAACAAAAAGGCAAACGAGGATCACAGGAAATCATCAGTTGTCAGTTAGAGTCTGAGAAAGATCTTTTCCAATTATTTTTTTTCTTATTTTAGGTCATTGTTATAATGATCAAGTGTATATGCTGACACTAGCCCAAGGGGCTGAAGGAGTAAGTATGGGGAAGCCAGAATATATTTCCGGTGTGTACAGACAAAAGAGGAAGGAGTTCCGTCTCTCCCCTCCATTCTCACGACAATGCCTGAGAGTGTGACCTTGAAACTGGAGGTTACACGAGCCACTGGAGAGTTCCTCTACAAAGCAGAGACTTCGAGAAAAGGTAAGTCACCTATTTTATGCAAGGTACTTCATCATACACTGTTTGATCTCTTTAATTTGATGAAAGCTTTTAACTTAAGGTGTATGAGGACCCTAAAATTAAAAATGCATTGCATTAAAAATACCTTGGAATATTTATTTCCTCAAAATCTGTACAAGCACTTGCCAATTCTATCTTATGTCATAAAATCCTTCAAACAACAGCCTTTAAATATATGGGATGAATAAGTACAACTTTGCCTAATACTTTTGTTAAGGTGAACTTACCTCCAAGTACCTCAATCATGGATTGGGATTTTAGAAGTAAACTTGGAAGTTGTATAGTTTAGCCTTCTCATGAGGAGAAAAGAAGCTGAGCCTGATGAGGTGACATGACTGACCCAAGGTAACAGCTGGTTAATGACTGAGCTGGGACTTAAGTCCATGTCTTCTGCCTCTCGGTTCAGTGCCCTGTTCCACACACCACGTTTATAATTTAGACTAAAACTAGAGACTAGAGAATGAACACTCTTTCAGATAGAGATGGCCTTTCTAAGAGAA